AAGAGATCCCTAGCATATATTGAGGATACCAAGAGATCCTCGGGATACCAAGAGATCCCCGGTTATCATCCTTGTTATGAGTGGTACTTCTTGTGGTTTGCCTTTATCTCTGTTTTCCGTTATTGTAATCCTTATTATCTTGTATATCTTATCATGTCATCTTTATATTTATTAAATCTCAGTAGGGCCCTGACCTTCCTCGTCACTACCCGACCGAGGTTAGGCTTGGCACTTACTGAGTACTGTTGTGGTGTACTTATGCCCTTTCTACGCATGTTTTTCATGTGCATATCTAGGTACCTCTGCTCAGACTCACTATCCTTGAGGCGAGGCGCTCTGTAGAGACTTCGAGGTATATCTGCCGCGTCCGCAGACCGAGGAGTCCCTCTCTATCTTACTGTAATAGTGTAGCCCTTCAGTATTCCCCTTTATTAGACATTTCTGGAGTTAAGAGCTTCTTATGTATCTCTTAGCTTGAAATTTGTGGGTTTTCGGGTCTTGGATTTAGTTATTGTTTTGAGATTTAAATATGGAGTATGTCGAGCGGCTTAGTTAAATATTGTTATTACCTTATTTCTGTTTTAAATTATTTTACTTCGGCAAATTTGGTTTTTCTTCCACAATTTAGGCTTACCTAGTCGTAGAGACTAGGTGTCGTCACGATGAACAGAGGGCGAACTGGGGTCGTGACAAGATTTAACCACGAAAATGGATATGGAATTTGGTAAAAATCACATATTTGACTTCATAAGGTTATGGGTAACAATTTTCTTCTAAAATTTCCGGAATTCAGGCACGTGGGCCCGGGGGTGAATTTTAGGAATCTTACGTTTAGGGTTGGGTAATCACCTTAATAGTTGGAATATGAATTTTTGAACATGTATTGATTAGTTTATACACTATTTCAATAGTTTTGGATTGTTCGGCACTGAATTGAGGGTTTGAGCATAATCTTGGACCGGAAAGTGGGCTTCGGAGCGAGGTGAGTCTCTTTTCTAACCTTGTAGGAGGGAATTGTCCCCATAGGTAAATTAATTGGATATGTGCTCTTATTTGTGGGGGCTACGTACGCACAAGGTGACGAGAGTCCATGCGTAGTTACTATTATGCATAAGTCTGGGTAGTCTAGGACCTAAAAGCATGCTCTACTTGTAATATTTGGAATCTTGTTGTCAATTTAAAATGCTTAAATCATATTAAATTGGTAAAGGAATTAAAACATAATTTTCTTGACCGTTAAAAAGAATTGCTATTTCTTTGGGTAATTGTTTTTCCCTGATGAAGTCTTGATTGACTGTTTGAATGCGTGTTTCTATGTGTACCTGCATCGCATGTATGATTCGCGAGTGGGGTGATTGTTTATTTATATTTGACCGCGTCGCATGTATGATTCGCGAGCGGGGTAATAGATGCATTTATGGTTCGCGTCATTCGACCCTCTGGCAGTGCATAGTTTAAATATTTGTTGGATCGGGTTGTACGACCTCGACATGATTTGCGCGTGCTTGTATTGCTTGCCTTGAAATTCATAGATGTTGATATTTGTTTCTCCCTGGCCTGAGATAAATGTATAAATGATGAAAATGAATTTGGGAATTTCCTATAAACGAAAGAATTGTTTACTTGCCTCATGCTATTTGAGTTACTGTCATTTTTATGAAAATCCTCGATTTATTAAATTATTGGTATATTATCATTGGACCACTAGTAAGTGTCGAAGTCGACCTCTCGTCTCTACTTCTTCGAGATTAGATGGGATACTTACTGAGTACACGTTGTTTTTGTACTCATGCTACACTTGTTGTGCATTTTTGTTACACATGCACATGTACCTCTAACGAACTAATGGGCATAGCGGTATGGATGATACGGAGACTTAAGCGAGCTGCATCTCTCGAGGTGACCCGCAGCCAGCATAGTCTCTTTCAGTGTATTGTATTTACTTCTTGTCCAAATCTGTATTCCAGACAGTTATTGTACTTCATTTGATTTCTTAGTGATTGCTCATGCACTTGTGACTCTGGGTTCTGGGATGATTATGGGATATTTAATATTAAAAGTTGTAAATATTTTATTTATTCAGTGATGATTACCTTTTACTAGTTAAATTAAAGGAAATTATGGTTCCTAAAATATTAAAATGAGGGTTTAATTAATTACTCAATGTTGGCTTGCCTGACCGAGGTGACCGGCGCCATCACGGTCTTTGATGGATTTTGGGTCGTGACACTCTCGGTATAATTTAGTCTGTCATAACAGGTTATTTGCCGTTTATTTTATGTTATAAAATCAATGCTATTAAATAAAATTACTTACAATTACCTTTTGATAACTTAATGGTGTAAATATCTTTTACACAGTCAATCCATAGAACTTAAATTCTAATTGTAAACCGAGTTTAAGTTATATATACATCAATGTAAGAAATTTTTACATTATCAGATTATTTTTACATGTTGTGGTAGACAACCTGCTTTAGTTTTAAGAATACAAATCTCACATTTTAAAGATGCTTATATATATGTGTGTAGATATTCTTTGGATGGCCGTATAAACTCTTTTAAACTAAACTACTGGTTTTGGGTTTAGAACCAAACCTAAACCCAACTCTAGTTTGTTCTCCCAGCATCCTACCTAAATGACAATAACAACTGTTGAACTGCTTATTCCATGCATTCCCCAACTAACTCCATAGAAAAGCTAACTAGACCAATATCTCTGCTTTTGACTCCGACATTCAACAAATAATTAGTTGATTAACAGATGATCCAAACAATAGAAGAGAAATAACTAAGTGTTTGAAGAAGACACCAACCGAAACAGGGTCTTCATCACTCCATCGTCCAGAAATGATAATCGAGACTGTAGGTGCAACGAAGGTGTAAGACCCTCCCATCACAGCAGGCAGTCTGGTCCCAAAGAGAGACTGCAACAAGGTGTTCAGACCAGCAACAAATAGCAATGTCTGAATAACTTTGGCTTTCTCCTCCTGCAAATTAACGAGCAGGTATTCTTTCATTAAAAACCTGTAACACTACTTGAGTTCAAGTGAAATTCGTATCTTAAGTCGTTAAGTAGTTCAATGTGTCTGGAAGCCTCACATTTCCACCTCCCATTTGTGGAACCAGAGTTGTAGGGATGATAACTGTTGTACCAAGCATAACAAGATAATGTTGAAAACCGTGCAGAATAGCCTCAGCTGCATTCCAGCAATTAGACAAAATCAGAGAAGCGTTCCACAGCATTCTTGTTCAACAGCAGTAACAGGAAAACAAGAAAATACTTTACAGAGTAAATACTATGTCAGCCACCAAATAATACACCCTCCCCATCCCAATTTATCTGTCACTTCTGATTAATTAATTAGACTAATTTTTGAAGTTAAATTGAATTAGATCAACTCAATATTTTAAAATTAAAATTTAGATATTCAAAACTATAAGAAAGTTCTATAAGTTGCAATTTTTCTCATGTCAATATTTTTAAAATGTTGGTCAAAGTTTACACAGTTTAAATCTCGAGAAGCGAAAAATGACACGGGACGGAGGAAAAAATTGTGTATACAGTCAGCTCTCTTGTTTATACTAGAGATCTCTAAGCTGTTTTGAAAGTGAAGCTGAATGGGATAAGGAATTGTGGATGATAGCGGAGACCTAATTTGGTTCAATGTGAATATCCTGGCCTGCACGTTACTTCATGTATAGGACCAGATTGTAGGAGTCTCTTAGTCTGTGAGTTGTACTTGTATACGCTCCTTGGGTTGTATTATATAACCCAAGGTAGGGACGTGAATGTAGAACATACAGAAAAACAATAGATGTTCTGTGAGCCTCAGCTGCTCTTGCTTATGAAATTTTAAACCAAAGTTGTCGACCCTGAAGTATTCGTACGCACCACAAACATGACTTTTGCTAAAACATCCAATCTGTCTCTCACCCTCTTTTTTTAAAAATAAAATTTATGCCTTTAGGAAGCACGATCCTTCTATTGATCACCGAAAAATGACATCAGAAACAGAGGCGTGCATCAACGTCCTCTGTTAAGAAAGTTCCTAGTAGCTACAAACAAAACCATATTATAAAATTACAGACTATTCTAAGTTGCATATTGGCATTCTCTAGACTATGTACATATTCATAGGGTCATATATAAGGTTGGTTCCCAGTATATTTGCCCCAGTTATCCAGCAAAATGTTACCAGCAATTACCACCTAACAAACCAAAAATAGCTTGATACGAGCATGTTTCTCCTTTGCTTATGCCTTATTGATGCCATTTGGGCCTTGTTCAGAAGATATGAACCAGCTGCATGTTTAGGAAGCTCCCTTAATGAAAAGAAAAAAGAGTTATATTCCTTAATGCCCCATTTAGCAAGAGCATCTGCAACTTGGTTAGCCTCCTGATAGCAATGTTGGATTTTACTATTAACATGTTGGAGAAGTTGCCTAATGTTCAAAATGATGTCCTGCATATGCCAAGCCACCTTCGTATTCCCTTTAATCATATCGATCACCACCATCAGTGTTGATCTTTATTCAGTTGTTTTGATAGCCTTGTGAGATGCACCTCTTCGCTCCTAGCCAAGCTTCCTTAGCCTCTGCTATATTGCTGCTGCCCCTTCCTAAAGTATTTACAAACGCCATGATCAAACTACCATCAGAATCTCTACCTATTAGCCTCCTGATAGCAATGTTGGATTTTACTATTAACATGTTGGAGAAGTTGCCTAATGTTCAAAATGATGTCCTGCATATGCCAAGCCACTTTCGTATTCCCTTTAATCATATCGATCACCACCATCAGTGTTGATCTTTATTCAGTTGTTTTGATAGCCTTGTGAGATGCACCTCTTCGCTCCTAGCCAAGCTTCCTTAGCCTCTGCTATATTGCTGCTGCCCCTTCCTAAAGTATTTGCAAACGCCATGATCAAACTACCATCAGAATCTCTACCTATACCTCCAGCCCCCCTGATCCCTTCCCTATTCCAACTACCATCAGTGTTGATCTTTATTCAGTTGGATAGAGGTCTCGTCCATTTGACAACTACACATTAAATCTTATGAGAAAGAGAGAGGACTTGATCACATATACCAAACCAGTGCCATGGTCACTGTTGATGGTTTGATATGGCCCATCTTAGATGATACAAAATTTGATACTTTAGTCTAGCCCCGGAAGTCTTCATACCTTGGGCCACACCTTGTGTAACGACCCGGCCGGTCATTTTGAGAATTGTAGCCCTGTTTCCGCATTTTCTGCTCCTTTTGTGCTCTATTATATGACTTACCGGGTTGGTTGGTTTGGGTTCGGAGAGATTTCAAAGTGAATTGAGACACTTAATCTCTTAATTGAAAACTTAAGTTGGAAAAGTTGACCGGATATTGACTTGTATGTAAACGACCTCAGATTTGAGCTTTGATGGTTCCGTTAGCTCCGTTAGTTGATTTTGGACTAAAGAACTTGTCCGGATTGTGATTTGGAGGTCCGTTGTAGAATTAGGCTTGAAATGGCGAAACTTGAAATTTTGGAAAGTTTGAACGAGGGTTGGACTTTTTATATCGGGCTCGGATTGGAATTCCGGAACTTAGAGTAGGTTCATGGGGTCATTTGTGACTTGTGTGTAAAATTTGAGGTCAATCGGACGTGATTTGATGAGTTTCGACATCGTTTGTAGAATTTGGAAATTTCAAAGTTCATTAGGCTTCAACTCGTGTGCAATTCGTGTTTTTAATGTTATTTGAGGTGGTTTAAGGATTCGACTAAGTTCGTATGATGTTTTAAGACTCGTTGGTATGTTTGGTTGAGGTCCAGGGGGCCTTGGGTTATTTTCAGGTGATTAACGTATCAAGTTTTGAAGTTGATAAGTTGCTGAAGAAATTCCACTGTTGGTGTAATCGCACCTACGAAGTGGGCACCGTAGGTCCGAGACCGCAGAAGCAGGAAGGAAGCCGTAGAAGCGGGCAAGGAAGAGAGGAGCTGGAGTTGCAGGTGTGAAGGTTCTCCCGCACCTGCGAGCCGTAGATGCGGCGAAAAAGGCGCAGAAGCGGAGTTGAAGGAATGAATGGGTGAAGGATGTTTCCGCAGAAGGAGATGGTGGACCGCAGAAGTGCCTACGCAAGTTCAAGGCCTAGACCGCAGGTGCGAGCCCAGATAGGTTAAGTGACTTCCGCAGGTGTGGAGCTTTCACCGCAGAAGCGGATTTTTGGACCGCAGGTGCGGTTTAACTGGGCAGAACATATAAATGCTAGGTTTCGCGATTTTGGCTTCATTTTAACATTTGGGACTCGGAATTGGGCGATTTTTTAGAGAGATTTCGAAGGGGGTTTTGAGGTAAGTCACTTGTGGTTAGATTTCTTCAATAATTATGTTTCTCCATTGATTTTCCCACCTAGTTTAAGTGTTTTTGAGGAGTAATTTGGGGATTTGAGGCATAATTTGGGGATTTGAGGCTAGGGAATTAGTGAGTTGATTTTGGGGATTTGAGTGTCGATTTGGTGCCGGATTTTGATAAATTTCATATGGTGACTCGTGAGTGAATGGGCTTTCAGATTTTGTGACTTTTGTTGGATTTTGAGATGTGGGTCGGGGACCGGTTTTTGGCCAATTTCGGATTTTGGCTTATAATTTCGTATTTTTCTTGTGGAATTGATTTCTTTAGCCCGTATTGATTGTAATGTATTGCTTGTGGCTAGATTCGGACCCATATGCACAAATAATTTTCTTTTGGATTTATCCACCCGCTAGCCCACTGGCTACTACCACATAGTATTGTTCAACCCTAAGCACAGATGATAAGTGTTGTATCGGATATTCGAACCTGAACCACCCCAAATTTTTGCCCATAGGCCTCAACCACCTAGGTGAAAAAAACATCAACAATGCAGAAACAGTCTCGCTCAAAGAAACTAAACGGTCCCGTGAAACCCAAAACAGGAACATATAAAATCAAAGGAATGTAGACTTACGCCATGGGGGGTGATTACAAATGCAGTAGGAAACATTGGGAAGCTGAATCTTTGGTGGATGTGGCACTGGGTCACTTGCAATTGGTGCTGAAGCTACTCTTCCATGTCCTGCCATTTCTTTCTTTCTCCACTATTTTGACTAAAAGTAGTGCAAACCCCAAATCCCTTCAGAAACTAAGGAGAAAATATGTTAGGAAATTCAAAGAATCAAGAGAAAAGAATGTCAAAGAACCAATAAAGCAAGACTTATAAAGAAAAGGCTCAAAGTTTAGCACACAGAAAACTAGGTCACCCACAAAGGAACAATACTATTATAAATATATTATATTATGTCATTTGGTACTCCGTTGTAAATAAGCTTCTTGAAGAAACTTATCCATATGTGATTCCACCGTAAATATGTTTATCTATTTAGTACTATATTGGAAATAAGCTTCCTCAAGAAGCTTATCACTTCGGTACCCGGCTATGGATAAATATTATTCCAGTAGAAGTTTATCCATATCGGATATAATAAGCTTATCTTTTCAGTACCCAGTTATGGATAAATATTACCCCGGTAGAAGATTATCCATACCGGGTATAATAAGCTTATTCATTCAGTACTACGTTATGGATAAATATTGCTCTCAGTAGAAGATTATCCATATCTGGTACAGCAGCAGCTTACACAGCAGCTTGTAGTAGCAGCTTACACAACAGCTTGTAGTAGCAGCTTACAGAGCAGCTTCTTTTTTTCTATAAATAGAAGA